TTCTGCTACTTTGAGCTCAATTTCAAGGTACTTTTCATTGTAAAACCAGTCAAAATCATCTCAATTTCTGTAATATGTCTTCCATTCTATAAAATGAGACCAAGAAAACTAGAATACAACAATAAATACCATACGAAGATACAGTGCAAAGTCGCTGTTTTATTCCAAAAAAAACGTTTGGTTTTATTTTCTCATTATGCACTGTGTGCTGCAGGATTTTTTTTATACTGTGCACACTGACCACATAGACCCATTCTTTCATATGTAGGCCTACCAGCTTTCTCCCACTAGATTTGAGGGCGCTAGAATTTAGGCGTACTAGTACGTCAAAAACCCTGGGTCGTAAGCTGTACTAGTACGGCTGAAACCCCTCAAAGGGTTAAATAGTAGGTTAAGTCTGCCCGAAATGCTTTGACATGATTGTGGCTTTCTTTGTACCATTCAAATTATGAAATGTAAACACACATTGTAACCCTAGTAAAGAAATAAAAGTTTTTATTTTTTTATTTTGAAAGTACAGTGGACCCTTGGCCAACAAAGGCATCACCTAACAATAAATTCATCCAACGAAGCGTTTTAGCATAAAAATTTTGGCCCGACCAACGATGAAAAACTCGACCAACATGATTCATCCTGAACCTGTCCGTCCAGCCTGAGCGCCTCAACTGCCCTGCCGTCATTGTTTACAAGCCAGGGTGGCCAGTTCCATGCATACATTTGATATATTTTGTATTATTCCATTGTTTTTAGTGCTTCTAAGTGCTAAATAAGCCACCATTGGCCCAAAGAAAGCTTCTAGTGCCAACCCTATGGTAAAATGGGTGAGAAATACTATCGAAATACTATCGTACCATAGTCAGCTGCTGCTGCACCACTGTCAGCTGCTGCTGTACCATGGTCTGCTGCTGCTGCACCACAGTCAACTGTTGCTGCACCACCATCAGCTGCTGCTGCACCACCATCAGCTGCTGCTGTACCACGGTCAGCTGCTGCTGTACCTCGGTCAGCTGTTGCTGCACCACAGTCAGCTGTTGCTGCACCACCATCAGCTGCTGCTGTATCATGGTCAGTTGCTGCTACACCACAGTCAGCTGTTGCTCCACCACCATCAGCTGTACTACTCGAAGATGTGGAGAGTGTTGTTGGTGGGGCTTAACGAGAAACAATTAACCCCAGAGGGTTAGACACCCAGGATAAACAAAGAAAGTCAGTGCATCATCAAGGACTGTCTAACTTATTTTCATTGAGGTCCTTACTCTTGTCCCCCAGGATGCGACCCACACCAGTCAACTAACACCCAGGCGAACAGGAAAAACTGCCTGGAACTAGTGCTCATATTGGTGAATTTAAGGCCAGCAAAGGTTGGTTTGAGAGATTTAAGAATCGTAGTGGTATACACAGTAAGATAAGGCATGGCGAAGCTGAAAAATTCCAACCAAAACAAGTGTTCAGTTCTGACGAAACAGGCCTGTTCTGAAAGAAAATGTCAAATAGGGTTGGCCTGTACATCGCAGAGTCACTTGTTTGCACAGAACTGCTTAATGCCTCAAATGATGTAGTGGAAGTTTTAGCAGTAAAGATCGAGAACCAAAACCTAGTCATTGTGGTAGTCTACAAGCCTCCAGATGCAACGTCAAAGCAATTCCAGGAACAGCTGTTAAAAATTGACCACTGTCTGGAAAATCTCCCAGCTCCTGCCCCCAACATCTTGCTCCTGGGGGATTTCAACTTAAGGCACCTAAAATGGAGGAATATAGAAAATAATGTTGTTGCAGTAATAACACCAGGAGGCAGCTCTGACGAGAACTCACACACACGAGCTTTTAAATCTCTGCACAAAATTCAATTTAAACCAGCAAATAATAGAGCCTACTAGACTGGAGATTACACTAGACCTCATCTTCACTAACAATGATGATCTGATACAAAATGTCACCATATCAAAAACAATATACTCAGATCACAACATAATTGAGGTTCTGGCATGTATGCGCGGAGCCCCAGACCGACATAATGAGATTAGTCACGAGGGAGCATTCACCATATTCAACTTCAATAACAAAAACATAAATTGGGACCAAGTAAACCAAGTCCTAACCGATATAAGCTGGGAAGATAGACTAAGCAACACAGACCCCAACTTATGCCTAGAACAGATTAACTCGGTGGCACTCGATGTATGCACAAGGCTTATTCCTCTAAGAAAAAGGAGGAGTAGATGTAAAATAGAAAGAGACAGGCGCTCCCTTTACAGGCGACGGAAAAGAATAACAGAGTGGCTAAGAGAGGCCAATATATCTGAAATGCGTAGGGAGTCACTGGTCAGAGAAACAGCAAGCATCGAACTTAAGCTAAAGGAATCTTATAGGAGTCAGGAATCGTGGGAAGAAATAAAAGCCATAAATGAAATCAAAAGAAACCCAAAGTATTTCTTTTCCTATGCCAAATCAAAGTCGAGAACAACGTCCAGTATTGGGCCCCTACTTAAACAAGATGGGTCCTACACAGATGACAGCAAGGAAATGAGTGAGCTACTCAAGTCCCAATATGACTCAGTTTTTAGCAAGCCGCTAACCAGACTGAGAGTCGAAGATCAAAATTAATTTTTTATGAGAGAGCCACAGAATTTGGTTAACACAAGCCTATCTGATGTTATCCTGACACCAAATGACATCGAACAGGCGATAAATGACATGCCCATGCCCTCTGCCCCAGGGCCAGACTCATGGAACTCTGTGTTCATCAAGAGCTGCAAGAAGCCCCTATCATGAGCTTTTACCATCCTATGGAGAGGGAGCATGGACACAGGGGTCGTCCCACAGTTACTAAAAACAACGACATAGCCCCACTCCCACAAAGGGGCAGTAAAGCAATAGCAAAGAACTACAGACCGATAGTACTAACATCCCATATCATAAAAATCTTTGAAAGGGTCCTAAGAAGCAAGATTGCCACCCATCTGGAAACCCATCAATTACACAACCCAGGGCAACATGGGTTTAGAACAGGTCGCTCCTGTCTGTCTCAACTATTGGATCACTACGACAAGGTCCTAGATGCACTAGAAGACAAAAAGAATGCAGATGTAATATATACAGACTTTGCAAAAGCCTTCGACAAGTGTGACCATGGCGTAATAGCGCACAAAATGCGTGCTAAAGGAATAACAGGAAAAGTTGGTCAACGGATCTATAATCTCCTCACAAATAGAACACAGAGTAGTAGTTAAAGAGTAAAGTCCGAGGCAGCTATGATGAAAAGCTGTGTTCCACAAGGCACAGTACTCGCTCCCATCTTGTTCCTCATCCTCATATCTGACATAGACAAGGATGTCAACAACAGCAACCGTGTCTTCCTTTGCAGATGACACCCAAATCTGCATGACAGTGTCTTCCATTGCAGACACTGCAAGGCTCCAGGCGGACATCAACCAAATCTTTCAGTGGGCTGCAGAAAACAATATGAAGTTCAACGATGAGAAATTTCAATTACTCAATATGGTAAACATGAGGAAATTAAATCTTCATCAGAGTACAAAACAAATTCTGGCCACAAAATAGAGCGAAACACCAACATCAAAGACCTGGAGTGATCATGTCGGAGGATCTCACCTTCAAGACCATAACATTGTATCAATCGCAGCTGCTAGAAAAATGACAGGATGGATAAGAGAACCTTCAAAACAAGAGATGCCAAGCCCATGATGACACTCTTCAGGTCACTTGTTCTATCTAGGCTGGAATATTGCTGCACACTAACAGCACCTTTCAAGGCAGGTGAAATTGCTGACCTAGAAAATGTACAGAGAACCTTCATGGCACGCAAAAACGAGATAAAACACTCAATTACTGGGAGCGCTTGAGGTTCCTGAACCTGTATTCCCTGGAATGCAGGCGGGATAGATACATGATTATATACACCTGGAAAATCCTAGAGGACTAGTACCGAACTTGCACATGAAAATCACTCACTACGAAAGCAAGACTTGGCAGACGATGCAACATCCCCCCAATGAAAAGCAGGGGTGTCACTAGCACGTTAAGAGACCATACAATAAGTGTCAGAGGCCCGAGACTGTTCAACTGCCTCCCAGCATACATTCGGGGGATTACCAATAGACCCATGGCAGTCTTCAAGCTGGCACAGCCGAGCTGTGGCTCGTACGTTGGTTTGCGTGCAGCCAGCAGTAACAGCCTGGTTGATCAGGCTTCTGATCCACCAGGAGGCCTGGTCACAGACCGGGCCGTGGGGGCGTTGACCCCTGGAACTCTCTCCAGGTAAACTCCAGGTAGGACCTACATTACTCAGGAGGAAAAGGCACTCCCAGGACACAAGCCTATGAAAGACAGGCTAACTCTCATGTTGTGCTGTAATACTAGAGGGGATTGCAAAGTGAAGTCTTTACTGGTGTATCACTCTGAAAATCCCAGTGTTCAAGAAAAACAGTGTCTCATCACTCATCAATACTCTTCAATAAAGATAAGTGTAATTTTAACATTTATTTATGTAGTTATTGTGCATGTCTCATTGTTTTCTTTGTAGGGAAATGTATATTTCATGAAAAAAAAAAAATTCATACCTTTGGGTGTCAGGAATGGATTAATTTGATTTCCATTATTTCTTATGGGGAAAATTAATTCAGCTAACGATAATTTCATCAACGATGAGCTCTCAGGAATGAATTAATATCGTTGGCCGAGGGTCCACTGTACAATTTTTGTACAATGAAGGATGTGTGAGATGTTATAGTCCTGGAGGTAGGAAGTACCATTCTTGTACCATAAAGGATGTGTGAGGATGCTACAGTGCTGGAGGCAAGAAGCACACTACTTGCACTATGAGGATGGGTGGGAATATCACAGTCCTAGAGGAAGTAAATACAGTGCTAGTACTATGAAAGATGGGTGATGATGTTACAGTCCTGGAGGAAGGAAATACAGTGTTTTTGCCATGAAGGATTGGGGGGAATGTTACAGGTTTAGAGGTGGGAAGTACAGTACCTGTATCCTGAAGGATGGGTGGGGATGTTGCAGTCCTTGAGGTATGAAGTACAGTGCCTGTATCCTGAAGGACAGGTGGGGATGTTGCAATCCTTGAGGTATGAAGTACAGTGCCTGTATCCTGAAGAATGAATGGGGATGTTACAGTTCCATGGGTAAACTAAACTGTTATGTTAGCGCACTTTGGGCAAGACAGAAATTGAATAATTGATGGTGAATGATTTTCCTCATTTTCTTGGAGCCATCCTTCCTCAGTGGGAGACTGCTGATGTATCAAAAAAAAAAAAAAAAGCTGAAAACAAAGTCAACATGCCATCATTCATATACAACACAAGAAAGATGTTCATGTGTTACCACCAACTATTACACCATTGTTCATAAATTAACAAAAACCCAAAAAATTTTACATAACATACTTAACACTTTCGCCATCTGTCATGTAGGACTACTTCATTTAGGCCAGGGTCCATGATGAAGTTCTTCATCAGCTCACCTCACTCAGATAAGCTGCAAGCAATAAATTTTGTTCTTATAGTATGTATATGAAATAATGGGTATGTGTGACATAATCTTAAAATAATAAATCCTAACTAGTCATAAGTTTGCCTATGATACTCCAATATAGACACTTTGTATTGTGCCAAAACAAAAGCATTCACATTGTTAAACTCACAAATTATGATGTAGTCGCTTAGCTTAATACCATAATCTGTAAGGATTTAATGTTAAGAATTAATCTAAGTCTGCCCGAAATGCCTAGCCATGCTAGGTGTCCTAGTGGCCCCCTCTGTAATTAGTATTTTATAACATGTAAACCACACAATACCCAAAACCTGTAAACCCCACATTGTAACCCTTATAGAGAATAAACTTGAATTGAATTGAATTGAAAAGTGTGCACAGGATAACAAAAATCCTGCCCCACACAGTACAGATGGCAAAAAAAAATACTGGCACAGTGTGGATGGTTTAACCCTTTGACTGTTTCGGTTGTCTATATACGTCTTACAAGCCACCATGTTTGACATATTAATACGCATAAATTCTAGCGGCCTCAAATCAAGCGGGAGAAAGTTGGTAGGCCTACATGTGAGAGAATGGGTCTGCATGGTGAGTGTGCGCACTATGAAAAAAATCGGGGAAGCAGTGGTGCACTGTGTGAGCTCCATTCCAGTAGTCCTTGTTCACCATGCCTCGCGGTAAGGAAGTTCCTCACTCCTAGGTGGATTGGAGGTCTTTTGTTCCCAAGTGATAGCTGTAACAGCAATGGAAGTGTCAGTGAAAGTGAATATCATGGTTTTGGAGAAGGTGTGACTGAAAGCAGTGCCCAGGATAACGTAATTAGTGATGAAAAATCCAGATGACCCACAACCTTCCACCTCTAGTGCTGGGCCATCTCATTCATGTCCATCTGTACCAGCATGAAAGAGGAAACTATTTCCCCCTCTACAGGACTCAGATATGAGCAGTGAAAGTGATAATGATAGTGATTTCCAAGCTATTGAAAGCAGTTCTAGTCACAACAGTGAGGGTGAATGTTCTCCAGTGAAGCGGCAATAGGTACAAAGCAGCATGCGTTCTGGTAGTGTGCCATATGCTGTTCCAAGGGGAAGGAGTAAATCTTGGAGTACATCCCGTGGCTCTACACCATGAACTGATAGTAAAGATGACGATATTGTTACAATGGGGAAAGAATAATATGCCCTGGGGAGCAGATGGTGGTGGCGGAGGCGGGCATGAGTCATGTGGCATCAGCAGCGGGCCATGCTAAAACCCACGTGTAACTCAGCACAGCCACAACCCCCTCCTCCCTAACATCCCCCAAAATCCACAACCACAAACCCCCAAAAAACAACCACAA